TCTTTGTAAATAGGGAGAGGTGGAGGGGTTGAAGGGAGGGCAGGGGAAGGGGGAAAAATGAGAACCAAGATGCATCATATAAAGGTACAAGTTCCCAATGATAAATGTAAATGTATTGTATACCTAAAGTGTACCAATAGAAGAGTAAAAGGGGGCGGGGCTGAGGATGTAGCTCAGTGCAAAGCCCCTGGGTTCCATGCCCAGTACTAGAGGGAGAGAAGAAAGAGGGAATGAAAACTGCCTCGGGTCAGACTCATTGGTTAGGGCATACTTTAACCATTCTCCTGTTCAATATTTGATGTTAACACAATTCCTTTACTAATGTAAATGATGCTTGCAGTGAACATTTTGGTTTGTTTCCGAGACTGAGGAAAACTGGGGCTGTAACCACGTCACACACACGCCAACAGTTGGGTCCAGTTTGGCAAGCTTCTTACTAGGGCACGGTTGCGTGTGGCTCCTGCTAGTCCCTGGGCAGATGGAGCTGGTGGCAGGATGGCAGCTGGTGGCAGGATGGCAGCCAAGCAAGACTGGAGCCATTGGCCCAGGGGGACACTAGTGCCTGCAGCCCGTAGCCAGCACTGAATTCAGGGAGTCCGACACCGAGGTTCGGGCCTGCCTTCCCCAAGCGGCCCTCCACAGCCTTGGGCTCCTGGGGCTCTGAAACCGCCTTCCCGATCCCGCAGCCCACACACAGGTGCTTTTGTCCATGGGCAGCTGCCAAATTGTTCTTTTGGTGGGGGTGGGGGAGCCGCACAAGCTGGGGCCCTCCTCTTCCATCTTGCTGATGTCACTCCTACTTTTACTGTTCCTGTCTGTGACAGCTGGATCTGTACTTCCTCTCATTTTCTTCCCAATAGAAGTAGTGATTTTTTGGTTAGCTCCCTACCCGGTAGTGCTTTACAAACCACTTAGAGTTGAGCGGGTAGAATACTGTTACTTAATTTCTTTTTGACGCTTGTTGTTGTTAGTGTTCTGTATTATCTCACTCACTAATTATGTCCAGTTCTCTGTGTTAGCATAAATGCCCTCAAAGAAATGTTCGTGCACTTACTCATACTGGAGGCATCTTCAGGCTTCTGCCTGCCTAGTGTCCAGGCTGTTTATCCTCTAGCCCTGGGACTCTCATCCTCCATCGTTATGCTGAAAATTGTTCAGCACTGTTCCTCTGTTAACTGAATTTCTCTTTCTCCACCTAGTTAGCCAGATTCCTGCCTCCCTGTTAATTGATACTTTGCCTGGATGTAGAATTCTAGTTTGGAAATCATTTTCCCCTTAAAATTTTCCAGGCATTGCTTTTGTTGTGTTTTAGCTGTTGGTGTTTCTGGTCAGAAGACAGATGTCATCCCAGATTCTCCAAACTTTGTACATATTTTTTTTGTCCTTTCTGAAACCTTTAGTATCCTCTTCATTCCATGTCTTGAAGTTTATAATGTGACTTCATATGGTGGCTTTCTTTTTACCATTGTGCTGAGCACTGAGTGAGTGGATCCTTAAGTCCAGAAATTTTAGTTTTGAGAAATTTTCCTGAATTATATTTCTTCCATTTTCTGTCTTACGAACTCCAAGTCTTCTAACGTTGAACTCTCACTGTTGTACTAAATTTCACTTTTTTGTTTATTTTCTTTGTCAAGGGGATTCTTCAGTTTCATCTTCCAGCTTTTCTCTTGAAGTTCTCATTTCCAGCGCTCCATTTTTACAGTAGCTTTGTTTTCTTCAGGTGTATATATGTATATGTGTGTTCCAGTACTACCCTGTTCTTGTTCCAAGAATGTTCTTGTTACTTCTCCCAGGGTATTTACTGTAATTTTTAAAGCTTTCTTTGTCTCTGTTTGCCTAGGTCCTCTTTGTTTACTTTAGTCTCCTCTGGCACGTTCGAGGCTATCCTCAGACACCTGGCGATCCTTCGCTGCTCACCTGTATAAGATGGGCACTCGGGGTATCTGGGAGTTTAGCCCAGGGGTGACCTGCTGTTTAGGGTGCTCGGCTGTGCCTTCTCCCTGGGCACTAGCGGGGAGGCTGGGCCTCCTCCTCCTCCGAACCCTCACCTGGCGTGGCTGTCTCCTGCCTGCATTGCGCAGCTCCCCTGACTGCTCTCCGTAAACCTCCTCTTCCTAGCCTCATACCCCCTAGCCCGGTCTGCCTACGGAGGGAAGTGCTCATCTCCTCCTCTCTGGTCAGAAGAGTAGTCTGGAGAGAGGGAAAGCATGTCCCGCTGTTCTGAAACATGCTGGGCATAAAGCTTACCATTCTCTTTAGCAACTTTAAAAGTAAGTATTATATGTGAATGTATTTATGAACTAAAGTCCATTCTAATAACTTGGGAAGCTTCTGATGTCTTGGAAAGTAACTCTGCTTCCTTAGCCCAATTCTTATTTCCAGTTCCATCTTTACTCCTGCTTTTGAGTGAGGAGCACCAGTTACTGAGCCTTGGGGGCCGGGGCTTGAGGTGGAAACTATGATGCTGCTTGTCCTCTCCACTGCTAGCTTTGGTTGAATTGCTTTGGCTGTGCTAAATCATTTCCATTCATGCATCTGTTTTCCAGCTTTCAATATTAAATGGCCTTTTTGCTTGGTCATCATCCTTGTTTTATTTAAAAAGCCCTGTTGATGTCTTTTTAGTAGGATTTTAAAGAAATAGAGATAAATCTAGACTCTTAACCAGAATTTTTGGCATGAATTTAAGTGACATAAGTGTAACTTATGAGTAACCATCATAAGGTATGGGGTCATTAACAGTAACTTCTTAGCTAAGATTCCATTCTGTTTTCAGGTGATGATTTCTGGTACCGTGCAGTTGTTCTGGAGACATCAGGTTCTGATGTGAAAGTTCTCTATGCAGACTACGGAAACATTGAAACCCTACCTCTTTCCAGAGTGCAACCAATTACTGCAAGCCACCTGGAACTCCCTTTCCAAATTATTAAATGTTCATTTGAAGGTAGATATTTGAGTCACTTTCCAATTTGAATGTCTTGTGGCATTTTCTTCCTTTTGCTTCATAGCTCTGAGTCTGAACCAAATGTGTATTTCTAGTATCTGCTCAGATATCTAAATGTCAAGCCGAGTTTTCAAAGAAATTTCATATCCTTTATTCCTTTTTTTTTTTGGTACCGGGGATCGAACTCGGGTCCTTGCGCTTGTACACCAGGCAGCGAAACCACTGAGCTAAATCCCCGGCCTCATATCCTTTATTCTTTAACTCACAAAAACTATAATCAATTAAGTCTGTCTTTGTTCTATAGCTTATTTTCAGAGCACCAAGGTTCAGGGATTGTCTTTTTCTTCTACTGCAGAGTTGCAGTAAAAAGTGTCAGGAGCAGGATGTGAACCCAGGTGGTCTGACCTTTTGTCCAGGGGCCTTGCTCCTTGGTCATAGGTTTCCTTAAGGACTAGGGGGCATTTAAATGACATTTTTGGCATCTTTCCTATGTGTCTACATTCCAATTCCAGTTGGAATTTAAGTAAACTAAAATGCTTGCAGTAGCTTTTTATGGTTACTTCTGATCTCTTTACTCAGTTGTCCTCCAAGCTGATACCACACCAATTCTCATAGTCTGCTTTGGTTTTGACTCAGAATCAGAAAAATATTGTTGTTTGCTTCTCCCATGAGATCACTGGGTGTAGGGGGAGCAGATACTGTGTCTATTTTGTGCCCTGTAAACCTAGATTAGCACTTGACGCCTTATAGGTCATCAGTAAATAGTCACTGTATAAATTTGATTTTGCAGTTTAACAGCAGTACATCAAAGCATACGGAAACCTAGCTAAAGTCAGTCAGCCTTTTGTTTATTATCTTTAGATAATTTATCTAAATATATCTGTTTTAAAGGGTTTTGAAAACTAACCAAAGTCTTCAATTATTTTTTCTAGGACTGGTGGAACTGAATGGAAGCTGTTCTCAGTTAATAATAGAGCTACTAAAAAATTTCATGTTAAATCAAAATGTAATGCTTTCTGTCAAAGAAATTATTAAGAACATTCACACAGTGTCAGTTGAGAAATGTTCTGAGCATGGTACTGTCAGTGTACCTGATAAGCTGGTGAAGTATAATCGGGCACAGAGCATCACATCTAAAAATCAAAATGCTTTACATAAAGGTATTTTTTCAAGTGTGGTTAATAGCAGAAGTAGGTGTAACAGAGCAAGGATAATCATTTTAATTCACCAGGTCTTTCCTCCCTTTGTGGCCATGGTCCTCCCTTCCCCTCTTCTGCATCCCATGGCAGGGCTCTAATGCTCGTTGCCACCTGGGAGGAGCCACCTTGCTTCAGAGTCTTCCATTCCAGGACCCTGGCTCAGGCAGAGCAGCATTGTGGTGAGCTTTAGAACTGTCAGGTGTTCTGCCTGCACCTTACTCCCAGTTCACTTTTGATCCTGATAAAAGGAGAACTCAGATTGCTGAGATTGGGTTTTTCCAGACCTGTTCTCACCAAAAAGAAGTCCCATACATAAAAGAAGACCTAACCCTTGGAATGTCCGTGTTAATCTGTAAAAATTCAGATCACTGCATAGATAATATTAAAGTCCAAATGAGTGTATTGTGTTCTTTGTACAGTGGATCCTTGAGTTACCACTGGCCTGACATGTAAACAACTTGGGTTACAACCGGAATTTTAGTTCTATGACCAAAGTCTTGAGTTATGACCTGAATGCTGGCCACTTGTGCTTCCAGATGGTCTCAGATACAGATTTAACCCTTAAAGAGTTCTGGAAGGAACATTACAGCATCCTTTCCTGTGTGGGGCTGAGAAATCCTGGGCCAGTGTCTAAGGACACTGAGATCTGCCTGTGTACAGGAGAGACTGAAGGCTGTGCAGAGGAGCCTGAGCCTCCAGTTGACCAACTTGAGGTTCAACCAGCCCTTGAGAACAAATTGAGTTCGTAAGTCAAGGGTCCCTAATTGGAACCCAGGCAAGAGGGCAGATACATACATACTTGTTCAGGTCCAGATTTCTCTGGACAGAAGAGACATATGTTGGACATATATTTCCTACTTGATTTTTTTTTCCATTTGCTTTTAGAAAAGATGCATAGGATGAATTGCTGCTGCACAGAGTTACAGGAGCAAGTAGGTAAATTTTTCTCTAAGTAGAATTATACTTCTAACATTTTCAGAAACTAAATTATACTATTTTTCACCCATAGGTTGAAAAACATGAACAGATTCTGTTCTTCCTCTTGAACAATCCAACCAATCAGAATAAATTGATTGAAATGAAAAAACTGCTAAAAAGTTAAGTAAGTCAAGTTTGGTGTTTTGGCCACTTGTCAGTGGGATGTCTCCAGTCGTGCTGTGAGGATAGAGCCGATGGAGTGGCACCTGCTTTAAGGCTGTGTTTGATTTTGTGATGTCATGATCTGAGTTTGGCTCTGACGTTAACGCTGCGGTCCAGGCTTTGACCTGATAGTTCGCTTGTGATACCCTTAATGAATTTGAGCCTAAGGTTGTTGAGGTTGCCAGGGCCTTTCCTTATTGTTTGATTTTACAAATGCTGAATGTTGTTTATATGGACTTGTAAAGATTTTGGGGGGAGGTGAAACTTAGCCTCAGACTCCTTGCATCCAGATTTAAAATCATCTCAGATCTCACTTATTTGCATCACTGCAAATAAGTTTTTTACTTTTTGTGAAGAGAACCTAAGGGCATGGCATGGAAAACAGTGCACTGACAGTAGATTTCATTTCCAGGTGAAACATTACCCCTCTTTAGGCTGTGGTGATGCCAGTGTTTAAAGGACATGTTTGGTGACTCTAAACCGATAGTTACCCTGCTTTTTCAATGTCCTGGTATCCTCTCTCCGAAGATGGCCCTCAGAAATTACTCTGTGAAAATATCCAATTAGAATTTCTGATAAAAATGGAAGTTAACTCCCTTACAATTTTGAGTTTGATATACTTTCAGCCAAAACGCAGGAGCTTTGCTTTATTTCAGATGTGTGTTTTTGTTGGCCCAAGTATAGTTTATATTAGATAGTTGGGAGGTAGCTCAAGAGGCCAGGTTGTTGTTTATTGTACTCTTATTGGCAAGGTAAATCTCAAATAGGAAACAATCGCAATTGAACACATTTTCTACACAATACTCTATTACATTTGCTTTTAAGAAAGTATAATTCAATTCTAAGCAAAATGTTATTAATACAGGATCGAGTTTTCTCAAGATGTATTTTTCTCACAAATTTGTGTTATTTCTTTTTCTTTTGGTACTGGGGATTAAACTCGGAACCTTACGCTTACAGGGCAGGTGACAGCACCACTGAGCTAAATCCCTGGCCAAATATGTTATTTCTAATAAGTTCTGATTTAACAGTTGCAATTACAACTTTCCATCATTTCTAACACACAGTTTTAGTGCTGACTGCTGTCTTGTGGGCTTGAGTTTAAAATCCTAAGTTTAGGGCCAGGGATTTAGCCCAGTGGTTCCACTGCCTGCCTTGCAAGCTCAAGGACCTGAGTTCGATCCCCGGTACCAAAAAAAAAAAAAATCTTAAGTTTAATACTGATTTTGATTTCATAGATTAACATGTAGTGACATGAACATCTGGAATTTTAGTCCTAGCATCAAATCGCCCATATTTTTAGTCAAGTTGATTAACTTGTATGTGCTTTTGTTGTTTTATGTGTGTAATAGGCTTTTTCCATAACGACATGGAGAATGTTTACACACACAATTTAAGATGAAACCTTTTATTTTTTATTGTTGCTAGATTGGAGACAGAGCTTAGTAACTTTAAAAAACTTTGACTTAAAGCATAAATTGGCTTTCTCTCTAGGAATAGATATTTTGTCTATATTTTCCTTTTTTTTGTACTGGGGATCGAACTTGGGACATTGCACTTTAGAGGCAGGCACGGCACCACTGAGCTAACTCCCTGGCCCTTTGTCTACATTTTAATACAGTATAATACCTTGTATTTGGGTCGTACCTTATGTGCACTGTTACATCAAGGCACATACACAGCCTTCACAACACCTTTCAAAAGAAGGTAGGGCTCATAGATGAGGAAGCTGAGGTCCGCAGCTGCCCATACCACTTACTCAGAGTTCTTTCTGCTGCCAGGACTGCTGTCTGTATGCTGTGCTGTGGCATCATTTTAGATGAGGTCACTTGTATAAGGCATGAAATGAGAGGGGTTGTATTGAAAAAAGTTGCATACATGGTTACATAAACATTTTTAGTGTGTGTGGTAATGAGCATCGAACCCAGGCCCTTGGCACAGAGCTACATCTCTAGTCCA